CCCCAAAACCCCAAAACCCCAAAACCCCAAAACCCCATATATCCAGTAAAAAGTTGATTTCTCAAAATATTTTAACCAATCGAAGGATACAATTATAAAAATGGGAGGATGAATACCAAACAGAAGTACAAAACCGACTGTTCCAATTCAGTCTATCATCCAGAGGAACAACGTTGACTCTAACTTAAAGCCTAGTGAGGCCATGGAGGCTGCCAAGACTAGTCTGTATTGCATTGTGTGCTATAAGCATCCTCAAAAGGTGAAAGTCACCACCTGCTGCAATATAATTATATGCAAAGGATGCTCCAAATTCCTTGACAGATGCCCACATCGATGCCAGCATGGTAAGGCTATAAGCTTACAATTCTTCTTACTGTTTGGAAAGGGGAACAGGGTTAATTGAATCATTTAGGCAAAAAATTCTTACAAAACGATAAAAGGCTGGACTCCTTGCTCAAAATTCCCGATAGCCCAACAAAGTCAGTCCATACCAACCTTTAGTCAGAACTCAGAGGCCATAATACAGCTTAATTTTTCATAATTCTTGTAAAATTTGAATTAAATCACTTTGAACCCTACCGCCTGGCAAAGATTAGCCGAGAGAGTTTATGAAGTTTTGAAAATATCGATGATTATCTTCGAACCCAATTCAACTACTACAGCAAGGAGATATTTATCATAATAAAAAGCCTCCGGGACTTCATAGTGTTGTCGTTTAGAGTCGATCTCTTTGTAAAGCTTCTTTTGAAAGATCATTTTGACTTAACCTTCATTACAATTTTCTCCAAATTTTTCAAAAATTTGAAGAATTTCCGATCTTTTACCTAAATATGCATGTTGAAGTCCCAAATTCTAAAATTTCACCACAGATTCTAACTTGTGCTTGCTAAAAGATCACGAAGATCTTATGTGTGATCCACATTGTAATGCATCTTGGTGGTGAAGCCAATGAAAAGAAAACTCCAGTATGAAATCTGTAGAAATGAACGAATGCAGAACCAGGGCTTACAAAACAATGAATATGTCCCTACTGAGAGCTTCTTGCTTGCTAAAATAGGTCGATTTCTGCTGACCTGATCGTTCTGGTTTGTATACCTTAAGAATTTCTATACAGACAGTATTCTTAGACTTAGTAGCTAGAAGAGAATACAACAAATTTATAGCTAATATCAAGAAATTTATCTCAGTTTGGCAAAATTTTGAGACATCTTCACAATTCCAAAAGACTTTCTGAACCTCTTGAATGGCTTCTTTGGGACTCTAAATTCAATGAGTCTGACCATTGTTATTTTTGAGATAAGTTGAAGCTTATTATGCTGGTCCGAAGACAAATCAGGTCCCTTTATAATTTTATAATAATACTCAAAAGATCAGCTTAAATTTCCTTTCACATGACGCCACAAAAAGTGTCTCACAAAAGTTTGAAACCCGGCTGATCTTTAGTCTTCTTAAACCTTCGTCCTAATCTTTCAACGTGGTGAAGAAACTGGGGTTTTGGGGTTTTGGGGTTTTGGGG